CCCCCCCCCCCCCCCCCCTCCACCCAGGATTGACGCCCATGTCGATAAGGATGTTAGTAAGGAGCAAGTGATTTGCGAAACCTGCCTCAAGCTTCAGAAGAGAATAAACCTGCAGAAAGCGAGAAAGGAGCGCACATCTAATGCCCCTGTAAGAGATAAACTCCTTTGGTTGCATGTGGTACTGAGAAGCTTCGAGCAACAGTGATAGCTGACCGTGTCCGATTGAAAGACCTTGAGGCAAGACTTGAAAACATGCAACAGCAAATAGGAAAGCATGGTGTCAATGTGAGTAAGCCACTAGAGAAAGATGTGTTGACCATAATGAGTGGACAGAATCTGGATTCAACACCTCATATGAAGCTCTTTTGGGAACAGCAAATGCGTCTTTTGCAAACGAATAAAATGGGACGTAGATACCACCCACAAGTGATCAGATTTGCTTGGCCAATTCATTGCAAATCTCCATCGGCCTATAGAGAGAGCGGAGACCTCATATTACCTAGCGAGCGTGTTCTTAGAGATTATAAAAACTATTTTAAACCTGGAGCTGGCATAACCAAAGAGAACATCGAGGAACTGAAAGAGAAAACATCAATATACACTGGCACTATTCAACAATATGTCGCTGTTGTTATGGACGAAATGAAAATTCAAGAGAATCTTGTTTCGACAAATCATCAGGTGAACTGATTGGCTTTATTGATCTTGGTGATCCATTAACTACTTTTGCTAATGTCAATGAGGACAATGATCCAATTGCGTCCCATGCACTTGCCTTTTTGGTGAGAGGATTGGCTACCCATCTGAAGCATATTCTCGCCTATTTCTTTAGTGGCAATGTAACATCAGTCCAATTAATGCTATTATTTTGGAAAGCTGTTGCAGTTCTTGAAACCACAGTAAAGTTAAAGGTAATTGCAGCTGTGAATGATGGTGCATCTCCAAATCGGACGTTTTTTACCCTTCGTGCAAAACTTGGTGGTGAACACCCGGACGGTGTTGTGTACAAAACACCCAATCTTTTCTGTCTCGCCCGAATGATTTACTTCTTCGCTGATGTACCTCATTTGATAAAGACTGCGAGAAACTGTCTTTATAACTCTGGGTCTGGATCATGAGTCGATATATGTGGAACAATGGACAGCATCTGTTATTTAGACATATTGCTGATATGTATTACCGCGATCAAGAGTTCGCCCTTCACAGCTTACCTAAACTGACATTGGACCATGTTGTGCTGACCAGTTTTTCAAAGGATGAAGGTGAAACTCGCTTTCCAGGTTTTGAGCAAGACAGTTTCAACATGCCTTCTGGAATGTAATGATCCCAGTGTTGTTGGTACTGGCACCGTACTGCAATGTTCTGCCAGATGGTCAACGAATTTTTCGATTGTACAAATATGAGGTCTACCTCCGAGCATGAAAGAAAGAGGAATGAAAGGATCAAACCCTGTGAGAGTCCCAAGGATGAGCGCTTAATCTGGATGAAGGATGCGTTTCTAAAGTTCTTAGAAGATTGGAAGACTAGCATTCAAGCTAGAGAGGGACCATTTATGGCAGCTGAACGAGAGAAGATGTTTTTGTCAAACCAGACATATGAATGATTTAAGATCTCTGCTAATTCGCATGTCGAAGTCATTAAGTTCCTCCTTTCTGAAGGATTTTCCTATGTTCTTACAGAACGGTTCATGCGGGATGTTATCGAAGACTATTTTGGACATCAAAGAACTCAGCTGCGAGGAAGATCAGATAACCCTTCAGCAAAACAGTTTGGCTATAATGATCTAACTATTGCTGTCAAAAGGGCCATTGTGCCATCAGTGAATGGTAACACTGGAGGGCGATATGGCAAGGCAAAATGGTACACTGTCTCTGATGATCCCGTGAAAAAGCGTAAAAAGAAGTGATTTTAGAAAAGATAGGTTTATCCCATTGACATGCAATGCACCCCCATGCGCCCAACTATTATTCTTGTACAGAGTTGTACTACTCTCTATTTATGTTCTTTACTCATCTTTGAATGCCTATGCAGCCAACACCGCGAATCAACGTCTGCGCATGGGTCAACATTACTGAAATCTGTATTGCGAACGTGATGTCAAGTGTCCCGAATGTTGTCAAAAACTCAAAATGGAAGCGATTTCGGTGTTTTGCCTTTTCTATGAAAATGCAAGCGCAATAATGAACGTGACAACCTAAAAACTAGAAATAATTATAGTGTACATGTGCAAGAAGTAGTGTTATGCAAGAAAATAAACCAAAGGTGACTGTCGATAAATTTATTGTATAAAACGTTTTTTAACTGAACCATACAAAGATATTTTTCGTAGGTTCATATGATCCACATTTTTGTCGATAACTTTTTTTGCGTAGCACGTATAATTTTTGCGTTGACAATATTTATGGGTAATGATTTACTCTACAATTTAATCGTGTGCAAATGCTTAACTATTCTATAGTATTGTTAACTTTTCTGCTTTAAGTTCGGTATTCGACAATTTTTCAAGAAATGTTCACACGCCTCCCGGTCTTAAACGGTAATTTTTTATTTATATTATTCATGTCTAAACTGCCCGTCTGGTGTATTTTTTTGTTTGTTTCAATAACATTAAATCATTAAATAGCCATGTTTCTGTTTACAATTTGGCTTTTAAATTCCTCGCCATCTTTTTTGTGCCCCACGCATGCGCAGACGTTTTTCCGCGGTGTTTATGCAGTCCACTTATTATAGTCTATATTCATATATTATTTCTAATTTCAGGCAATTTTACTTGTCAAATGACAAGTCTTGCAGTTTAAATCTGTCAATAACATTTGACAATTTTTACTCATAAAGGCACATTAATTCATTAATTAAGCTACAATATTACTGTGATGAGGAGACATGTGGGATCAAGGGGTAAAAGGGGTTAGAATTGACTGGGATGATATGCAATTTTGAGCAATTGCATGTCCATGTTGTGTCCCAAAATAGTCACCCATTTCTAACCAAACTCCTTTCGCTGTTTGGCAAAGGTGTGAAAGGCGAGTTTCTGGCGCCTTGAAACCATATTGCTCAGACAACCTTCCAAACGCTCTCCATATCGGAATTTACAGGATTTCCATACGCACTGTATGGTAATATCTGTTTCCTATAGGCATGCTGATGAGCCCTAACATTGGGCGAAACAGCCATTTTTCTGATCTGTTCCATAAGTTAGATTTAGTATTATTATTACCAGTGGATCTTCGTCAGAATTACCAGTGGATCTTCGTCAGAATAGGCAATTCCAGCTTTTAATTTATGCATGCAGGGGGTGACGATTATGCTGAAACATCTCAATAAGAACTGCCGAAATATTTCAATATTTACAAGTATAAGCTATCACTCCGTGTTTACATGGCGACCATTTTCATTTTTTCAGCATAATTAGCAATATGATACCTTACTTTCCATCCCCCCTGCACACATAAACTAAAAGCTGGAATTGCCTATAGGGACATACGGCTATAAGGTTGTCCCCTGAGCAAAGCGGATAAGTCACATACAAGCGCAAATGGTTATTAATTTTTTAGCGATTCCCAGCTAGCCTTTCACGCTTGTATTCGACTTTTCCGCTTTGCTCGGGGACAACTTTAATTGAAATATCTGTATACAGTATATAATGTCAATTAGTATTGTCAATTAGTCTAAGTTGGCAATTAAAATTATATGCATAAATGTTTGTAGATTTAATAAACTTTTGAAGTACCTTTTATATACATGTTTCCTGATATTTTTATAACAATGAATGAATGATAAATGTTTTTTTATGTAAAATCCATTAAAAAAGCTCACCTACTGTATATACACACAGACCTATATGTAATTATGACCTTTATACGCACGTACATACAATTTTTATCATGACCCTTACCACCACCAACGCTACTAATAACTGACCAATAAAAAATGTTCAGACTAATTTTAAACCAAACAATGAAAAATACATACTAAAGGTTAGCATGAGGTAATGGCATTGGTGGCAAGAGTCAGATCAGAAACCATTACTAAAATGGTACATTTTGTAACAAGTTACTTGGTGTCCTCATTTTTCCTTTTAAGTTCTTTTCATAGACGTTTGCTCTTTACTGATTTTTGCTGCATCTTAAAATTGCTGATATAGTCTTTCGCATATGAGAAGCTTCGAACCCTTAAATACAGCTTTACTATATTTTCTAGGCAATGCTTTTTTGTTTGTTTTGACGTTTCTTGACTACAGTCTTGCATAATATTTTCCAATAGTGATTTCAACAATGGCAAGTCGAGTGCATCATTGCATAACTTTTCACAAGGAATACTCTTTACAACAATGGTCTGCATCTGAATAAATTCTCGTAATAAATTCTCAACAACCTCGAACACCTGCACGAGATTTTGAGATGGTGTCACTAGACCGCCTCTGCTGCGAGACTCAATGTAAGCATTTTCCACATCAGGGCAAATCATGCTTTGTAATATTGTTTGAAGCTCGCCATTCTTTTTTTGGACAGATTTCTTCCTCAGATTAGACAACACATAAACTGTTATATAGGATAGCGGCCCACGTTCATGTTCATTGAGTTCTGATGAAACACCAGGACTAACACCAGTCTCACTGCCACTGGAAGTAGAGGGCTGTTGTTAACCAACAACACACCCCTTGAACAACGACACTAAATAGTCTGGATGGATATCATTACAAGACTACATGGTTGTTGGTTTTTACATTGCAATATGCCAGACGACTCTGGAATAAGTTCATAAAATTCCATTAAAAATTTGTCTTGGTTTTGTTTGTGACAGAATCGTTCATAAATTGGCTGCATATGGTTCTATAGAGGATCGTTCGATGATATACTCGCCATATTTGCAGTCATTTCTTCGTCCCAGAAACCATCCTTCGTTATTTTTGCATTTATTTTTTCTACAATAGAGGGTAGCTCTTCTTTTGTCAGTTTAGCTACTGATGAAAGCACGTTCTTGTTTCCATGTGCGGTTTTGTTCTTGTGTTTTGCGTTTATATGTCTAGTCAACCCTCCCTTCCACTTACAAATCTTCTCGCAGCTATTGCAAGGGAACGACTTTTCGGCGGATATTTCGCTTATAGCATCATCAATCTCTTCTTCCAACGGTTCTTCGTTTCCTTCGCTACAGACAAAGCGATGTTAAGGTTAATTTAAACGGCAAAATATCTTCATCTTCAGCAAACCACCACACTCCTCGCCAACAAAACTCGAAGTACATTCGCCTTCTATTTCTTCCAGAATCGACACAATTGCCTCCAAATCGTCGTCCATTACCCTTACTTAGTTATACTAACTTTAGTATCACAGAAAGCCGAATTATTTTACTGCAATATTTTGGCGAGAAAAGACTAAAAGATTGCCAGCTGTAATATAATCCCTTGTGTATTTGAGACAATCACCCCCTTATCTCGTCACGTGACATTTTTTCCTTTGTGCCTCAATATACTTGCCGCCGTTTGTGAAGTTCGCCGGCTAGCCAAACCATCTTATTTTATTAACTATGATTGAACTTGTTACGAGTATGAGCAGGGCAAGCTGAAAATTAATTCTACTTGACTACGGCTGGGAATCCAACCCGCGACGTCCGTTACATTTCTAGAACGACGATGAAAATGCCTGTATTGAAACAACAAGAATAACACAAATTTCCGAAGAAATAGAACAGATGAAATTCGGAATCTTTGGGTACTTGTTATGTAGAATAATGAAAAAAAAATTCTCGAACTCAAATTTTGTTAACCGCGGGTGGTGTCATTTCGAACAAAATAAAAATGTCTTGCGTACGAGACTTAAAAGCTTTAATCGTATTTTGAGTTAATGGATGAAAAATATCTTGGGTGTTTAAGTGGCTGTCTCACTAAGAACCATGCAGAGCGTTTCAGGTTGAAAATTAGATTTCCTTTATATTTTTACCATCAACTACCTTTGTCCTAAAAGGTATTCAACCAATATTAGAATTTCTAAATTTTTCTTTTTTTTTAGTTATGACGAATTTTTGTCTGGACGTCGCGACACTGAAATTTGACCCCGAAAACGGCGGTCAAATGTGTGTTAAATTGTGCATCATAACTCGGAAAGTTTCGCGTCCAATTAAAAACTTTTTCAGCGTATTGAGATATATTCTTCTTCTTTTAGAATGTTGAGAGAATTTGAATGTACATCTTATTTTAAGCCTACTAGTCTCTATCCAAGGATGTCGGTATTTTCGTTCGCCAAACAACGAATGATTAGGGCATGTAGTAAAACACTGACTACCGGAACACCGGAACACCGCCGGAACACCGCCGGAACACCACCGGAACACCACCTAACCCTAACCCCAACCCTAACCCCCAATCCTAACCCTAACCCCAACCCTAACCCCCAATCCTAACCCTAACCCCAACCCCTAACCCCAAACAAAATGGTGGTGTTCCGGTGTTCCGGTGTTCCGGTGGTGTTCCGGTGTTCCGGTAGTCAGTGTTTTACTACATGCCAATGATTAGGCACAAAATTCAAACTAAAAATTCTCAAAAGTGCAACCTACCTGGTGTCTAAAACACTTTTAGGGTTAAAGTAGAATACTTAAAGTTATGTTATTCGCAATAAAACTTGTCGGCAAAAGGAATATTAAGGAGTGCCAAATTCATAAATTATGGCTATAAATAGCTCTATTGTTTACCTTTGTGATAACCGGAAACACGTTCAAGGTTGCTCGCGGAGTTTTTATAGCGAATAATATATTGCACAATCATTGTATTTAACTCAGAAAAGTTTAATTCGATCGATAAAATGCGACGGATAGTTGAGGTCTAAAACGGTCAAAAGAAATAAATTCGTCCAGGGCGTTGTATCCCTCATGACCGGACAGGTACTGTACAATGCCAATGTCGAAAATGTGTGTTTCCGTAACATCGCATCGAATTAATAAATCCATGAACTTGTTATTATATTCTGTTAAAAGTTTTCCGCATTGCCCATTTGGCAGAATTATTGTCTTTCCATGCAAACCATTCAATTGATCGTATAAAACGATCTTAGTTGCATTGACATTGACTAGCTGCAACGTATACTGAGATCTGTCCTTTATCTTTAATCTACAGGGTGTATCAAAATAAACGCAATTCATCTTTTGTGCTTAATAACTTTCGAAATACTATCGCTTTTAGGCTTACTTCAAAGCCTGCTCTTTTCTCTTTCAAACAAACTATTATCCTTGTCTCCAATGCTAGTAATAATTGCACAGGAAAAGATTTAGTAAAACCTATCATTTTTAGTTGCTGTTTAATTATGCAAGTTTACTATGTTATTGTTTAGTCGGTTTAAATGTTAGAATTTTCTTCTTTAAACTTTAATGTTGTCGTCACTACATCTGGAAAACCACGTATAAGAACAAATTAAAAGTATTTTAAAAGAGACCAGGTTGTTTGAAAATCCTAAACGAATGCTAAAAATCGTTAAAACATTCTGGTGTCTGAGCCAGAGTGTCCTCGAATTGCGATGTAATGTAAACAGAAATTATAGCAAGTTGATGTCATTCAGCTTAGATGGTCCAAGCCAAAATTATATCGCATTTGAAGTTTCAAACTGAGTTAAAAATAGTGGAAGAAAAGCCGTAATTATACTTATTGTTACAATCCATTTGATAAAATGCAACATTTTCTTGTTTTAATGAAAAAATCAGTTATTTTCAAGAGAACGTTTAGTTATTCCATCTCAATTTTTTTAATCTCCAATCGCAATAACGTAAAGTATTATTACCCGCGAACCAATGAGTCAAATTTAAGAAACAACCCACTGTTAGAAAGCGGAATGGCTACGCTTTAAAATGAATGTAAACTTTAACGTTTTCGTCTATTATTTGTTTAGCAATTTACATTTCAGTCGAGGATTGCGCTTTTTTTGATACATCCTGTATACAACAATAATAATAATTTTACAGTAGTTTGCAGTTAATCGCCATTCTGTGAATAACTTTGATTTGTCTCGTAATAGTAGTAAAAATTATAGCAATGAAAAATACATAACATCGTAGTTTGCATGCGGCGTTTTTAGTACTTGATCAGTGGGTTAACGATACTGTTCCAGGCTCCACACACTCGCGGGGACCAAGAACAATGACATCTCTCGACATGTCCAAGTTAAGCCGGTTTTCCACTTCGCTCGTATCGTACCGAAACGTATTGGTGAGTATGCGCAGACTGAAAAGAGGTTTATAAATCACGTACTTCCGGGTGTATTCGCGTATCAAAATAAAAAATTCGTCGCAAGTCAACTTTTTGGCGTACTACGGAAGTACTAACCAATCAACAATCACGAAATTTTGAAATTTAAGAACGTTTTTGATGTGTTACGGTACGGTACGCTTGAAGTGGAGAACGGCCTTAAGTCTGGGAGTATTTGTCCGCACCTGCACAGTTTAGTTATTTATTTGGAAACATGAGCATTCCTTTGCATTGCCCAATCATGGATGATATTTTATCTATGAAAGTCTGTTTTCCATCCTTTGATTTGAACTGAAGTTCAAAATGCGCAAAAATTTCTTTCAGCATTGTTATTTTAAAAACAGATAGGCTCTTCTGTTTGTACATGTCACATAAATCATACGCGTTGCATGGTATTTAGATGGCATACGTCGATCTCAGCAAGCATTAATTTCCACAAGTTGTCCACAAGCATTTCTCTTTGTGCTTTCGCCTCAAAATCAAGAACACGTAAACTTACGCATTCTCCTTCATGAAGAACACGTAAACTTACGATAGTTATCTCCAGTTTCCCTCCGCGTCATTAATGTACTAAATACAACACTTGAAGAAGTAAAAGTAGCGTAATACTTACGAGATCCTATTTCAATTAATTTCCCAAAAAGCTAGTAAAAACATTGAAAACATCTCTTCCTGTGCACTTACGAACAGGACCCGAATGGAGGGAATACTGGCACGGTCGTACGTAGCGGCCTCCAAAATCGTCCCAAATTATGACGATGGGACGGACAAATAAACATCATCTTAAATTGGTCTTCGGTAAGATTGAACATTCCCGCGCGAATAGCAATTAACTCGTTCTCTCTCAATTTCGATTTAGAAAGATGACAGTTTGATAGTTGACCACTTATATCTTCCTTACAATCAAATAAGCAACTAATCTCCTGTAATCCACAACTTTCACCACAAGAAATTTCACCAACGCCAACAAATGAACAACTTTTCTCCAAAATCAAAACTAAACTAGTAAGCTTCTAGAAATATCTAAAAACGGCACTTCTTTGCGTTAATTTTCTGTTAAACAAAACAGGTGTGGAAATTACAAAGGAACACTGTCATTGATATTTAATATTTAAGAAGTAAATGTAAAAAATACTCCAATAATTATTTTTAACAATGGCGCATTGAAGAACAAAAACGGCTTGTATACATTGCGTCTGCTATTATTTTCTGCTATTATTTTCGTGGTTTTTTATTATTATTTTATAAATTAGGGACCGGTCATTATTTATGGAAGGGGGAAGAGAAAAATAAGGGGGGGGGGGGCATATGTAGAAATAAATGACTAGAAGGGGGGGCTATTAAATTTTTTCAAGAAAATGACGGGAGGGGGGTGTTGCAATCAAATTTGAAGGAATTTGCTTAATAACCTGGTATCCATTTGGTTGTAAATGTTGCAACTAAATCATGGTCACTGATGTGAAATAGTCTGGTCACTGATGAGAAATAATCTTGTCTTGTGTGTGCTGTATGCAAATCAGTCCTTACGGATTGCAGACTAGTTAAATTGACAATGTATTATTACATCAGCTCTTGATGTGGTTAAATACAGTTAAATTAAGCAAGGTTAACGGCGGATGTATTATGCAGGCCACATCTGCTGAGGGGAGTCTGTGACGTCATATCGATCAAAGGGGGTTGTTTCATGCCTTGTGATCAGTGCTTCGGTCGGGGTATTCATTCTGCCATTGTATGCTTTGCCTAGCTGCAGCAAGTTTTGCACTTCGATACCTTTTCCCCACCCACCCTCCCATGTTCATTCTAAAGGATTTTATCTGGTGGCTAGAATATGTCATTTTATTTTAAATAATTTTTAATCTCACATAAAATAGGATGTGTATAGACCACTATACACTGTATTTCGCAGGTTTGCCTTGGCAGAATTGTCATTGCTATCTCCGTTTGCTGCTAATGTTACTGATTGTTGCTCTCATTGTTGCTGCGCAGCTGCTATGGCAATACGTCGTACCATCAAGTCTAGTTGCAGCCTTAAACATGGTTACAATCGCCCAGACCAAATGGAAACCTGATTTTAGTGTTATATATAAAAATACTCCTCTTTTAATTATAATTTTCTGCTAATATATATTTTTGGTCGATGTTAATTTAATATCTTGGCAGTTCGATATTCTTATTTAATAATTAACACTATAACGCCTGGGTATCCCCATTTGACAAGTAAAAATTAAATTGGGGTAAGGGGGTCAAAGAAAAATATTCTAATATGCAAGGGGGGTCATCATTAAATTTCTGCCATTTAGGGGGACTTTCAATTTTAAAAATTTAGAAAAGAAAATATTCCCCTCCCCCTTCCATAAATAATGACCGGTCCTTAAAATAGAAAAAACTTAAAAATTGGCTACAAACGTGATTCCCTTGGCATACAGACTACAGTAACACAATTTACTAACCTCGAAAATTGTTCGACAACTCTCGAACGTTTGATTAAAGATTAAATTTGCGAGATTAAATTGTTTGTTGAAGAATTAACACGCGAAAAGTAATAGTAGTAGTATATTGTTGCTTTCGTAATTTAGCGTGTATTCTATTTATGGCACACTCATCAGTACATATTAAGCAACCATAATACATGTATTGTACATTATGTTGGCGTGCAACTATTTAGTAATTTTAATCAAGTTTAAAACGATCAATTGTAAAGGCTTTCCGAAAGCTTAAAAAATTACAAGGCGGTGTTTGTATTCAAATATAAGAACTTACAAACACTATTTTATATTTATAATAATTGCTGATATAAATTTATAAAAGCTCCGCGAGTAACGCTGAACGTGTTTCCTGTTATCACAAAGCAACCTCGTACCGAGGGCATTTTGCTTCTGGTCAGCGAAAATGGCCCTGGCATCGGCCGGTCACATGACCTCAAAATCTCCAGTATTTGGGGTGTTCAATTATGATAATTTATGCGTATAAGTACGTATATACAGGGTGTATAAAGAAAACCGCAACCTCGGAATTTCCTAAGAAATCACTTTGCAATTCTTAAGCATAAAAGATTTTAGGCCCCTGGGAATTGAAATCGAATTGCTAATAAATCATATTACTGTTGTTGTGCATTAAATAAATGCATAAATTTTACTTTATGCACTCGCGTGTGCAGTAATTTTGACAGTTATGCTATTTTAAATTCCCAGGCGCCTAAAATCTTTTGTCTTTAAAACAATGTCGATGTCTTGGGAAATTCCGAGGTTGCGCTTTTTTTGATACACCCTGTAGAATAATGATATACATTGTAATTACTGACAGGAGTAAACAAACTCAACGCTGCGTATATAATCAAAGGGAAAGCAACGAAATAAGTTGACTTTATTCGGTTTTCGTTGTTTACACCTCATTCAGCAACATAGCCCGTACTGATATTGATGACTATTAAACATATTCAGAGCCTGTTTAGCCTGTGAATCAATTTTTAATGAACAACCAAACAAAGCAAAACAAAACCGCTTCAGCGTTTGCCGTTTGGTTTATATAAATCGTGTAATGAGCAAATATATTGGTATCACAATCTTTGACTATAAGTATAACGCTGTACGTTTCTTGAAATCGACGATGTATAAACAACGCATGTGAGAAATTTATGTTGAACCGAATCAAATACTCGTCTATACAAATGTACAAAGACTTAATTTTAATTTTCTCAATACTTTAGTCCTTCAAGAACTAATTATAAATTCGTCCTCCACTCTCGTTTCACCAAAATAATAATTGTTTCCCCTGTATATTGAATAATTATATTCAAAATCATTGACCAATCAGGTTGCAAAACAGACCAGCCGATGCCAGGGCCTTTTTCGCTGACCATCCAACCGCTGAAGCAAAACGCCCTGGGTACGAGGTTGATCATACAAAGGTAAACAACAGAACTATTTATAGCCATAATTTATGAATTTTGCACTCCTTCATATTCCTTTTGCCGACAAGTTTTATTGCAAATAACATAACTTTAAGTATTCTACTTTAACCCTAAAAGTGTTTTAGACACCAGGTAGGTTGCACTTTTGAGAATTTTTTGTTTGAATTTTGTACCTAATCATTAGTTGTTCGGCGAACGAAAATACCGACATCCTTGGATGGAGACTAGTACGCTTAAAATAAGATGTACCTTCAAATTCTCTCAACATTCTAAAGGCCTCTAAAAGAAGAAGAATATATCTCAATACGCTGAAAAACGTTTTTAATTTGACGCAAAACTTTCCGAGTTATGATGAACAATTTAACACACATTTGACCGCCGTTTTCCGGGTCAAATTTCAGTGTCGCTGACGTCCAGACAAAAATTCGTCATAACTCAAAAAAAGAGAAAAATTTAGAAATTCTAATATTAGTTTAATACCTTTTAGGACAAAGGTAGTTCATGGTAAAAATATAAAGGAAATCTAGTTTTCAACCTGAAACGCTCTGCATGGTTCTTAGTGAGACAACCACTTAATTGCTGCACGTAATTTCAGACAATTTGCGTCAGTTTAAGCCCCTTAACTATTCACACAAACTTATATTTTTTCCCTAAAAATCAGCCTTTTGGATGCTTAATTAATGCCTTTGGCTAATTTGCATATTGCAGCAATATGCAAATTAGGTAAAGGCATAATTAGTCATTCTGAAATTTTGTACAGTAATTAAAATCCCAACATATTTTCCATCTATTTACTCAAAATACGATGTAACCCGTATGTGCTAAAAATTATACGGATTTTATAAAGAACTCTGTTAAACTGCATTCGTTTGCTTTTTTCTAAAAAATGACAAGTTTTGGAAATTTTGGGTGCAAGGTCACCTTGGAATTCCTGAAAAGATCAAACTGAAAAATCAGTTCACGAAACCCAAAATGCAAACGGTGACGGAGCCAGGGTCTAAACTTTGGTGTGGGGCAAAGATTTTATGGCATTTCGAATGGAAGCGCTAACGACTCGAGGAATCTAGAGGGGTATAAAGGGGCATGCTTCCCCGGGAAAAGTGTGAATTTCTAGATTCATTAGAACGCTATTTCACGTGTTTTAGGACGAGGCTTAAAGAAAAGTTACAGGCTATTGATCGCCTAATGTTGTTGAATCGAAAAAATATTTTATTGATGTACGCTGCAGCGTACGTATTTTTTATGCATTATTAATATTCAAATTCTGATTTTACATTTTCATTTTTATGTTTCAAGACACAGACTACAATTTTGCATTGCTGAAACCGACTGCACAATCTTCAACCTTGCGTCATTCAGATGTTGGTTATTTTTTATCAAAGTATGCCGTGGATGGTATAAAAGCTGATTCGTGTAAAACTACAGGGATTGCATCATGCGCACATTTAAGTAGTGTCGAGAACCAATGGTGGCGAGTGGACTTTCAGGTAGGAAACAATATATGCAGAGTAAAACTTTAATTAACGCACAATAATTGGTCTAAAGGGTAAAAGAGGATAAGCAAAAGGACCAATAGCGGCCATATTGGATTGACAATGCGCCGGAAGTCTTCTCAAGATGATAAGTAGCCTCTCTTCTTTCAAGTGGAAAACGAGTCTTAAGCAGTATAGCACTATAGCACTATAGTTTTTAAGACGTACTAAAAGTTTAAAACTTTGTTGGAAGTTTGTTCACGACAATGCGCTTGCCAAGGTCGTTGACCCTCTGCGATTTATTGAGCCGATTTTATGTTTGGCCTTGTCTTAACCCAGAATTTTAGCAAGGGAGGTAGTTTCATTCCCGAACGCCCATCTGAAGTTAATCTAGCTTTTTTAAACGGCGACAGCGGTTTTTATTTGCACTACGTTTCGTACCACATTATTTACGTGGTATACAAAACTGTATATAGCATAATAAATTAAATATTTCAAACAGTCATTGACAATTTGTCAGTCCTGAACAGGAGACCAATCAAGTGTTGGGGACCAGGCATGGATGGTGTAATATTATAAACATGGGAAGTCTCAGTAATGATTTCTGGTTCCAGCAATGCTACAATTTGTGTTTTTAAAAGGTTCTTTGAAATTTCCGATATACCGGAATATCTAACAGTAAGATTTTCTTTTATTTAATAATTCGCCCATATAAAATACTATTATTTACATAAAAGGAAAAAATTATCGGGCTAGGAGTCTATTGAAACCTTAACGCGCTTTTTGATTTAGACCCCTAGTTAAAGTCTTAGTATGTCTTTGTGCTATATATACAGTAAATTATATATCGTATATATTACAAAATGATTTAATATAACGTGCAATAGATAAAGGTATTAATAGCTACAATTGATTACATAAGAAGAAAAGTTAAATTAACATGCATAATTCTGTTTAAATGAGACGTTTTTTTTATTATTTATGTAGAAAACGCTTTTTTGATTTTTTCTTAAAAATGGGACGTGATGTTAAATCTATTAATTTACTACCAAGGCTATTCCAAACGTCTATCCTTTTCACTGAAAGCGAGTGGCTGACGTAGTTTGTTCTTTGATATGGCTTGTGTAGTTTAGTCGAGTTTCGAGTATTGTGCTGGTGATTTGGCTATTTGTAATAAAAAAATTTGTGCAGAAATTTGGCAAGTTATTTAAATGATGATATCGGAACATAAAAAGACTTGTGAGATATTTATTGTTAACTTACTTAGATTCAAGATCTGAAGGTCAATAAATATTTGTTCAGTGTGAGAAGTGTAGGACTGGAATGTCATTAGTCCAACGTAACTATTTTCTTTTGAATATTGATTAGTTTTTGAATTCGCTTTTTGTATGTACTGCTCCATATTTAATTGCCATGTCATAGATTAGATACGGATAGACCAAAGCATAGTAAATTAGTTTTAAAGTATTCAAATTAGTAAAATGACGTATTTTTGCCGTAATTCCTGCAGACTTTACTATTTTTTGGCTACTGAATCAATATGGTCATTCCATGATAAACATTCATCGATAACTACTCCAAGATCACCGTAATCAAGTACGGATTGACACTTTGATTATACTATCTGACTTCTGAGTCCACCGTACCCTCTTCTCCGCGCGTCAAGCAGTCAGAGCTTTTTAAATATTGACGTAATTAGTCCAGTGCGGTGGAAAGTGCATGGTAGATTTAAATCTGTTGAGACGTTACAGCACAAATTACACTGTTTATTATTAGCATGACAAAATTACTGGATGCTGTTTGGTTGAGAGGAGTACAATTATTTCATTAATTGTGCTCCAGTACAATTAATGATTTTCCCAAACCAAACAAAATGGCGGAAACGTACTTTAAACACAAGCATGAAATGAAATTGCCGTGGCGGAACTAGATGAAAATACAAACAAAAGCACCAAATTTTGATTTAACAAAAGAACTAAATGAAAATACAAACAAAAGCACTAAATTTTGGTTGAAAGTCTGGCAGAACTGGGCTTTGGCAAGAGAATATGATGTTGACATTGAGAAGTACGTATCCAATTTTGTCATGCTAATAATAAACAAGTAATCATGCGATGTTGCTCGTACAATTAAGGATTAATAGTACTCGTGATGTTTGGAAATTTACCAAATTGGACTCGCCCCGGCGGCTCGTCCAATTTTGGAAAAATTTCCAAACATCACTCGTACTATTAATCCCTAATTGTACTCGCCATCGCATGATTACCTACACTAATATACGCATTTCAATTTGTTGAAATTATGCCTAGATTTTAATACCCGTGGCTCGTGTTGTCTTCACAAACAGAAAAGACTATCCCGGACACAATGGCTTAGCGAATTTTGAAATCAAGATTGGAAACAGTTTGGAGAACGAAGGACGAAATAACCCAAAATGTGGAGGCCAACATTCAGTACCACATGCAGAAACTAAAGAAATTTCCTGCTTACCACCATTGATTGGAAGATATCTTGTCGTTCAATCATTCCATTCTCAACTTTTACTCATCATTGAAATTGAAGTATTTGCTGCAGGATTGTAAGTGGAAGAAGGAATAAAAGCAAATCGAAGTTTCGCTGTTTAGTTAGAATCAAAGATTATATAATTACTTAGTCAGGGCTATGAACATACTATAACTGGTATTTTGACCAGTGGGCACGTTTTGGTGAACATTTTGACCAACATTTGAAAAGTTTGATTTCATCAAAATCGTGGTGAAAAAACTGAATGCTCGTGAGGTGAAACATTGGTGCGAATCCAACACTGATATCATATTCCAAAAGAAAAACTACAGAAAGATGCAACTCTTAAGTCGAGCGTCGAAAATTATGTAAATATATATGCACGTTTAAAAGTGCGAAACTGTTGAAGCCCAAAACATTTTCAAAACTAATATCTTTCACCTCTCAAAAAGATCATTTTGGTCAAGCCAATGGCTGTACATAAAAAAGGACAAATAATTTCAAACTTACAGTGTGTTCAAACCCGCCCCTGGACACACACGCACACGCACACCCATGCAGTGGTGGCGGCGTCCCTGCGAATATACCGTATATAACTATAGAAAGATGCGATTTGTAGAAGAATTAAGCAAACCTGTGGAAGAAATTGAATGTAAACATGAATTTGTCTTTACAGGAGTTTTAATTAGTACTAAAATAGTAATATAATGCACATATTAAAACATTGCAATTCAACATGTAGGAAATGGTTATAACAGCTTATTGTTCTTAATGGTTGCACAATATTTACAAGTGTTAGATAATATCAAGATTTAAACGTCCTTGTCTTTGTTCAGGGGCCATGAATTCGAATGCATGCGAGAATTATTTTTTCAAGGAAATGACTGGAAAACCTGGTGACATGTTATGCACAATAATCTTGGACATAACTAACCTGAGTATCATGCAGGCTCTATTTTACAAATAGAGCCTGACACAAAACTTAACCTGATCGCTTTCCACCCACAGCAAAGTTTATATTTAGTATCCAATCAAAATGTCGCAGGAGAAATTTAAATTTCACACAACGACAACAACAATCTAATTATAGCATAGGCAGCCCACTAAACGGCTGAATTTAAATTAAAACTGCAATGAACTTATAAAATTAACAAAAATAATCACAAATTAGCGAAATATATTGGAAATGTAGCTTATATTAAATCGCCACCCAATTGCTCTCTCCTCCGCAGATGTTTCAGTGACTGGCGCTTACCGTATTTATCAACAAACTGACATATAATTATAAAGTATATATCCTTATAAAGTATAACCTTAAGCCATTAGGCCGGGACGGTACCGTCTGTAGCTAGATATCGCTCTATGGCCTTTAGGCGATATTGAGCGCTCTACAGGATGAGCCATTGCTTAATTACGCATTGCGCACGCTCACTGCTTGCAGTTTGAGCGCTCTGGCATGGTTTTGATGTCCCACATTCGCGAGGTATCGAAGGTAACTGTAAATAGCAGTTATATACTTTCATTCTGCTCATCAGCCGAAACGGCCTTATGGGCCTCAAAAAGCCAGCCCCAAAAAATCTTCATTTATAAATATCAAGAAATCAAAAACTGGAAAGTAAATAAATTATATTTTTACGTTTCGGGGACAAGCCCCTTCTTCAGAATAACGCTACATCATCTCCGTCTCTTGCTTAAATAGTCTAACGTTTAGCTATACATAAATTTATTATATACATGACAAAATTACTGCAATCTGATTGGTTAAGAGGAGTGCAATTATTTCATTAATTGGTTAAGAGGAGTGCAATTAATGATTTTCGTGATGGCTGGGGGGGAGCGGGAAATCAAAACAACAAAATCCAATATGGCGGCGAAATTTAGATAAGTATTTCTAACAAATGTGGACGAATTTAACTGAATTTTGGCACAAGAATGAGTTTAAGAAACATTGAATGGCAAAAAGAGCCTGTGGAAAATACCTGGAAACAGTCTTAAGAAATAATCTTGGCGGGATGCAGCGAAACGCGACTATGTAGGTTTGAAATACAATTTATAAAGATTTTCCTAGTCTAAAATATGTTGTTTGAGTTTGAATCTTGTGTTCTAGTTTAAGTTATGTGCCTTTATGAGTCTATAATCATTTCCCAAGTTTGTTTATACCAAATTGCTTACAAAAGAATTAAAAACTCTTGACAAATTGCAGTTGAAATATAAAGAAAGCGATTTTGTCATGCATATAATAAATAAATAATCACACGGGCAAGTCGTGCAATTAATGATTAACACTACTCGTGATATTTGAAAAATGTGCCAAATTGCACTCGCCTCGGCGGCTCGTGCAATTTTGGCACATTTTTCAAATATCACTCGTAGTGTTAATCATTAATTGCACTCCTTCCCGTGTGATTACCTATACTAATTAAACCTCTTCCCTTAAATTAAGCCCACGTGGGACATAACTATTAAGTTTCTCAATCCAAAAGCTCTCCCTCTCAGTGGGGTTATTAACGTCCGTGACGTCAATAACCTGCACTAAAAAATAACTTAGACCTGAATGTCCCTCCCCCAAAAAATGGGCATACAATTGTTGCCCACAAATATTTCTCTGCCCCCGCCCATATCTATTTAATGCACTCTTGTGGTTATTAAATCGCAATCTGAACGGTGTTATGGTATTCCCCACATATTGCAACCCACAGAATTTACAACTAATCAAATACACTATACCCTCCGAGTCACAATCGAAGCGATGATTAATGCAGAAAGACCGCCCCTCAACATGGCTTTTAAAAGTAGCACCAATAATAACATTGTCACAGATTTTACATTTCTTCTTTCCGCACTTAAACATCCCTACGACCGTTTCCTCTTCCCTTCTCAATTTAGAACGGACCAAGTGATCTTTAAGGTTTTTAGACCGACGAAAACACACCATTGGTGGTTCCGGCATAATACTTAAAAACCTTTCAGACCAACTTACCTTTCAGACCAACCTTTCAGACCAATTCCAGTTGACGACTAGGAGGCAGGAAAACTTGCAGGGCATGGTTGGGATCCGTAGTTATTTTCTACCATAAATCTCTGTCTTTATTGTTTAATATATCAACAATCGATACCTGATACATAAGATATCCATACTTATATGCACGTTTTAAAAGTTTATCTACGTGACTAAGATACTTGGAATACGACGCACATACCCAAACCTCTATACCAAAAACTATTATTGATAAAATAAGACTATGGAACAGAAGATCCAGCTCTTTCCTAGAAAACCCGTATTGGTCATCCCAATGATTCCTCTCGCTCTCCCGCCGGCTATTTTTAATCGCAATTAACGAGAGAATTGCCAGCGATTGATTACTTGCAAGAAATCGCCACATAACTGATAAAAACGCTATGTGAACGATGTTCAGCTAACTGTTTTTGCTGAGAAAACGATCGAAAACTCGTTTATTTCACTATTTGTAGCTACGTTTTACGATCGATGATGACAATCAGCGGATAGTGTGCAAGTAGGCGTATTTCATTTAGGACAAACATAAAGCGATGACTAAACAATACGAACATTTTACCGAGATTTCCGGGCCCCTCTGAGCACTCCGGGCCCCGGGTATCCCCTCCCCCGGCCTTAGACATCTGGCTGTTCAACTGCATTCTATAAAATGCGTATTGCACACGCGCGCAATTGAAAATCAGTTAGCCACAATATTATAGAATCCGATTAGCTCGTCCCAATGTCAACGAGTTCCAGTATCATTACTCGCGTTGAACTGTACGTGGGTTCGGGCACGTTAACTTTATTTCGAGTTCTCCCAAACTACCACAAGCGTTTATATAACTATAGACGAACCGAGAAAAATCGTTTTCTATTTCTTTTAAAATATAACGGAAGAAACGTTTTCGTACTCATCACCTGAAGTAGAAAGCCCACCCGAAACCTAGAATCTCACAGAAAAATGGTTGCATCGCTGAGTATTTACTGCATGACGCTAGCCTGAGTCACATATTATAGGAATACAGTCGGCAAAAAAATTGTCCCAGATATTTCACGCATGTGCCTGCCGCCACGCTTTTCTCGATTGTGCGAGAAAATCTGCATAATTTTCAGAGAATTATGACATAGTTTTTGTTAATTTGAAAACGCGAAACTTGAAAAACTACATTCTGTAGTTTTTCAAGTTTGTTTATCCAAGATGGCGGATGCACATGGCGAGACGCACGGAGGTAATCGCCGCAATTCTGGCCGAAAAAGAAAACACAGTGGATCAACTAGTTCACAGTTAAACTGGAACGCTCGACATAAAATAATTTTCTTATCTATCAAAATATTTGAAAGAGTCCAAAATCGTTGCTGGATACGGCTCAAGCGATTTTGCCGCGCATTTGCTCTCGCTGGAATACCGTAGAAGCTAAGCATTATTTGTATATTTGATTCATTTCTTCAGTTTTTTGCATAGTATATGTTGCTGATATTAGTCTATACATTGGTCTATTTCAGGGCAGACAGTGAAAGCATACTCCCTGAACCATGCACCTCATCAACTAGGTCAGTTAAAATTAAGCTAACTGCATGTTTACGTCGATGTCCAGATATCTAAAGAAAGCATTACATTACTAGAGTAATTTGTAAGCAACCTAAATGTATTTAAATATACGTGACATATAACCTTTGCATATAACATTTGCAATACAACCAAATACATTTGGTTGTATATAAAGTATAAATATACTTGTTTAGAAATTACAACTTCTACCCCTGTTAAGAGAAGTGAAAATTTGCCTGATTTCTCTGCTATATACTTGTGTCTTCAATCTTGTCAACTATAAAAGACCATTGGAACTAGATTACAGTTTGGGAATGGAAACCAATTCAACTTGTCAAAACATCATGGAAGGTTATTGTGCTATACTTGTATTATAAGACTCATGTGTACTTTGTTTTCAATATATTTTTTGAAATATAGGTCCACAATCGAACAATTAAATACATCTTTGTTCACTGATGATGAACTACTGTAGACACTGGCAGTGAAGAGAACAGCTCTGATTATGACTTCAGGTAACTAGTAGCAGTATGTGTATAGTGCACTAAACAAACTCTGTCTGTCTAAGGTTTGGCCTGTGCAACTCGTGTATAGACATCCATCCGCATTAAGTGACCAATTAATCCTTTCAGCTGTTACATGTTAAGATATTTATTTTTATTTAGTGTTCATGTATTTTGTTTTGCAGAAGCATTGAGTAAAGGATTAATGCCTGAAAATTGATGTCGATTTACACTGCAACTTGTGTTTAATGCAAAAACATGTATTTTGCAGCGAACCTCGACAGTCCGCTATGCTGGAGTTAAATAATGAAGGAGAGTTGGATGATGAAGAGACAGAGGATGAAATGTATGTACAGTATTAAGTAATAAAAACACTTACTTGTTATTTATTAATAAACATTGCAAAGTGTATATAAGACATAATTATTGTATATGGTCTTCTGGTGTTAGGTCGCATACTGTAACTAATGAGTCATCAATGTCTATTTATAGGCCAACAAACTTCAACTATAGCATGGATGTCGACGAGTAAGTAAATTTTTGCAACATTTACAACCAAATGGACAGAAGGCTTATTAAGCAAATTCGCTGAAATATAATTGCACCCCCCCTCATTTTATTGAAATAAAATTAATAGCCCCCACCCCTTATGGTCATTTATTTATACATATGCCCCCGCCCTTATTTTTGCCCTACCCTTTCCTTAAGGTTCTAATTAGTTTCCTTGTGTGACTTGCACTCCAGTCTGAATATCAAAACAAAGTGTTAGAACGTTAGTGATCTCTATACACTATACACCATATAAACCCCTGTAACCGAGGGATATTGTTCCCTTATTTTCAACACTACACAGGAAGGGCATACTCGTCTATTGCCCTTTCCCAAATGACCATAGCGTGCAAGTGTAAATTGTCTGTATGCAGATTTCCTGAAGGCCCTTGTACTATTGCTTCTCTGTCGTTTCGAATGTCGCCAGCATTACGGATACAAAGTTCCGGCCAACACATCGGGATCAAGAACATGCAGTCATTGTCAAAACGTGCAATCATTGTTATACACTTCTTTAGTCCACAACACTTATTCTCCACTTGTTGTGGCATAGGTCTACATTTCTCACATCTACACCACTCGTGTAACTTTGCATGGTGAAGTATTATCCTGTGATGGTTCCAGGCTCTGTGTCGCAGTGATGCTGCAGCCTTGCATATCATTAATATTCCTGTTTGCATGTTCTCCAATGTGTCACTTTCATTATCAAGATCATCTTCCATTATCAACAAGGTCTCGATGTAGTCCATGCTTCCAATTCCCCGGCGAAGACTACGCACAGCTAGTTTTCTCACCATATTATCATCTAGGGTGGCTATAAAGTCTATAAAATCCTAAATTAAAGAAAGTATATATACAGATTTTGTTCTGTAAATGTCATTTTATATAAGGCTATATTCTGAATATTCAGGCAAAAGTGCAATCATGAATGTCAGGTTTCGGCAATTAATAATTATGTTTTGGGCAATATTTTTTGTCACTGCATGTACAAGCAGAATAATTATAAAAATGGCTTATCACTGGTGCAATTGGGAACAAATACTGCCAGAAAATGAATGAAGTACAACATTGATATCATCTTATATTAATACAAGCAAGGTGAATTTGATAAAAAATATTGTCGTACAAAAAATTTTAAAGTACTATATAAACTAAGGTATACCTTTACATCGTTGTGTTCCTTTATAACTTTATTGGGAATACTAACAATAACGATAAATAGGTGTTTCCCAAAAGGAAAGGTGCAAACGGGTCAGAAAAAGCCCATGCGAGGCACCTCCCTTACAAACTTTACACAAAAAATTACATTACACCATAAATTATAGTTGAGGTAAAGCTCGATTTGCGCATACCCACAGGATCTCGAAATACGTAAAATGCATGAAGATTTTGGAAAATTTGTACGGAAAATAAAACTAAGTTGGTTTTGAAAACATGTGACTTAGGCATGTACACGAAACGAACTTTACTTCAATCAAAGAACTATACATTATTTTAGTTTCTGTGACATGGACAGTCTCGAACAAGAGACCAGGTAGATGGCATGTCTACGTCAAAAACTGAATTACGTAAAAACGAATAAGTCCGACGAAGAAAGTTCTTAAAAGTAAATAATGTCATGAAGCTATTAGGTGATGCAGTTCTGCACACTACATTCCATAAATGAACTGTTCGATTAAAGTAAGAGTTTTTAAATGTAGTTGTTCTACATAACGGCACTTGAAGTAATAGACTAGGATTTAAAGTTAGTCGAGAACGATCATGACTAACAAAACTAACATAATTGCCTATGTCTAAGTCTACGTAACCGTATAGTGCCTTATAGAAGATGACCAAGTCTTGGATTTCTCTGTCATAACACAGCGGCAGCATGTCCAAAGTCTGAAGTCTCTCCTGCTATGATATCTCACCTGTTCTTGATCTTAGGATCCATCTTGTCGCGCGTCGTTGTATTCTTTCGATCTTGACTTTGAGGGAGACATTGGATGGAGACCAAATTTCAGTACCATAGCATAACTTCGACTTTACAAGCGATAGGTATAATGAACGACGGATTTTGGTTTCCGTCAATAAAGGACAAGTTCTCCTTAGGAGACCAAGCATCTTGTTAGCTTTAGCTGTTATCATTTGAATATGCGAGTTCCACAAGAGATTGTCTGTCACGATGATGCCGAGATCTTTTTCTTTCCGGACACGAAGCAACGAAGATGAACCCAGATGATAGTTGTAAGTCGCGGGATATTTCTTTCGAGTCACGCTCAAAACCTTACATTTTAATGCGTTGAACTTGATGTTATTATCATGGCTCCACGTGTCGAGGTTGGATAAAGATTCTTGTAGACAATCACCGTCAGTTGTAGAGTTGATGTTTCTAAACAATTTTGTATCATCAGCATACATAGCTTCCGACGAGCCATTGGATATTACTTCCGGAAGATCGTTTATGAAGACAGCAAAAAGTATCGGACCCAGGATACTTCCTTGTGGCACGCCAGAGATAACAGGAACCCAGCTTGATGGGACACCTTCGACAACAACTCTATGGGTACGTCCGCTTAAATAATCACGAAACCAGTCGAGAAGACGCCCTGTAACGCCATATGACTTGAGTTTTCTTAGAAGTATTTGATGATCTACAGAATCAAAAGCTTTGGCAAAATCAAGGTAAATTATATCAGACTGAAGGTTTTTGTCAAGACACTGACCAATAGAGTGAAGAACTTGGACAAGCTGAGTGATACACGAACGATTTCTAAGAAAACCATGTTGTGAAAACCATGTTGTCGACAGCTTTATGGCTATCTTTCCAATAACTCATTACTTTCTAAATTCCAATCAGGGTTTAGACCTAAACACTCAACCCTGTCTGCGTTGATACAAATGTGTGATAATTTACTTAAAAACATGGATAGTGGTCAAATAAATTGTGTAGTCTTTCTTGATGTTAGGAAAGCCTTCGACTCCATAAATCATGAAATTCTGATTGATAAAATGCGTAATTTTTTCGGAGTAACAGGAAACCAACTAAGATGGTTCGAATCATACCTGAATAACAGGGTTCAACAATGTCTTATAAACGGACAACTATCGAGCCCAAAAAAGATAATATGCGGAGTTCCACAGGGGTCCATCCTTGGTCCTCTATTATTTTTATTATACATAAATGATATGCCTGACTCGTTAAGTCACTTAACTCCTTCACTCTATGCTAATGACACGGAAATTTATGCATCTTCTAATGACTGCGCCGACCTTGTCGACAAGGTAAATATTGATCTCGAAAACATACGCAGATGGATGATACACAATAAACTTCAAATCCACCCCAGTAAATCGAAACATATGTTCATTGGGTCTCCCTATAACCTTAAGAATAAAGTATCTGGTAATCCTATTTTAATTAATAATAAGCTAGTACCCAGGATTAATAAATATTCATGCCTTGCGTGACTATGGACGAAAGGTTGTCTTGGGATAAACATATTGATTCAATCTGCTCTAAAGTTGGTGCCGGTATTGGTGCAATGAGACGTGTTAAACCTTT